ATAAGGCTACCGTCAGACCATTCGAAGAGGGCGTTCAAGCGAGCAATGTTCTTCTGAATCCGTCGAACTATTTCAGAACCGCATGCTTCCAATTGTTCAACGGTCATAGCACTGAAAACGCTCCTCAGTCCGTCAAGAGATTTCGGCTCAGCATCGCCTGTGTTGACAACGGTTCGAAGGTCATTGAGTAGTTGAGTCTCGATCGCCGCTCTGTTCCTAATTGGTCTTTGAGCTCCTATTAGATCCCCAGTTTCCAAATTCACATGGGCATTGACGATGAACAATTGCTTCCTACAAATGTCTGCAACTGCCTGGCAAAGTTGCGTCTTGCCGCACCCAGTTTCTCCAACGAGAAGAACGGGTTCGTTATTCTCAAGCGCTACTGAGACCAGGACGAAGAGACGTCGCATGGCTTTTGTCCAAACAATGCCAGGCGCCAATTCCTTCAGGTTAGGAGCGCGCTTTTCCAATTCAGCAGCACTGTAGATTGTGTCTTCGTCAATGGGAACTTTCATGACCTCCTCAATGACTGCCTTGACAGCCGCCCTTTCTTGTAGATTGCGGACGCGTTCTGCAAGCAGCATAAAGCCATTGATGGCTAGTTGTTCACGGTCATCTGCCCGGCGCAGAGCCCATCGGAACAAATCACGTAGAGTGGCAAAGCTGTTTTTCTGTTCAAATAGCCGGTTCGCTTGGCGCAGGAGGGAAAGCTTTCGATAAACAGACACAATCCTGGTGCAGAATGATGGCGCAATCTGTGAACGCTCTTTCAGGATGAACTCCAACTCGCTCTCTGGGATATCGTCGAAATGCAATTCGAGGAATCGATTTCGAAACGCGCGAGACAACACTTTCCGACCACCATACAAGCCGGCCGGGTTCTGTGTCGCGAACAACATGAAATTCGGATGCGGGTGAACGACTTCCTGTGTCTCGGGAATGAATAGTTCGCGGTTGTCGTCTAGAAGTCTGTTCAATGCTTCCAAGACGTCCGATGGTGCAAGATTAAGTTCGTCAAGAACGATCCAATATCCGTTCCTCAGTGCTTCAACCAGCACACCTTCCTGGTAACGTAAAGTTCCATCATCACCAGAGACATAGGAACCAAGATACTCCTGCAAATCGGTGTGTTCATGATTGTTGATTCTAACGAACTTGTTCCCCGATACTTTGGCAAGATACTCTATCATGCTCGTTTTACCCGCTGAGGTGGGACCCTGCAACAACACTGGGAACCGACGAGTGGAGCTCGCTCGAACAAGATTCTTGAGATTCTTCTCGATGAAAGGAGTGATGATATAATGGGGTTGTGCCTCTGGGACCATATTGCCCTGGCGCATCCAATAATGTTTAAACTGCACATAAGCATTCCCATCCTTCGGTGGCTTGGGCGTTTGTCCTAGTAGTGCCCTAGCATTCTTCGCATTGCCAAAAACATACCGCTCAAGAAGAGGCAAGAGTAGCCGCTCGGATTCTTGGCTTAGAACGGTCAAGAAACTCATACAGTAGCCCTCAAAGATCGCCCGGCGCAAACCATATATATGGGCATTTTCGAGGACATATATGAGTGCACGAACGAGGGTTCGGATACTAAAATGAGGCCGTTGTCCAGCTCCGTCAGTGAGTTTGTTCTCGTTGCTGAGTTTCTTGGTCTCCATGTAGAGCTGCGCTAGGTCCGACACGACCCTTGAGTCGCCAATTGTTAGGTCACCCAGGTATTTCTGAATCAAAGCGAGCAAATCGTCCAGGTCGGTATCGGGAGATTGTACATATACTTCCGTGAAACGAGATCTGAGTCCAGGAGGAAGATCTTTCTTTCCAGCGTCAGTTGCGGGATTCATGGCACCGAATATGCGAAAGTCAGGATGGCCAAAAACACGTTCCACATCGCCAGCTTCGGATAGCAGAACAGATGGAGAACCTTCGCTACCATGATGCAGAAGACTGGCGATATTCTCGAGAGTATCTGGGGAGGCTAGATTGACCTCATCAAGCAGGACCCATTCTCCATTGCGAAGTGCACGAACGATTTTTCCCTGGACGAAGGCGAACGCGAACTTGGCGTCACCTTGCGAAACTTGTGCCTCAAAGTCGTTCAGTTGCGCTGCAAATCTCTCCCATCTCAGTCGTAGCTGCTGGTACTTGGGCGAATCCAGTTTTCTCTTCTTCGTCGGCTGCTGCTCCTCCTCACCGGCCCGACTCTGCTTGCTCGGTTTAAACACACCGTCGGCAAGCCGAACGGCTTCATGCCAAAAGTTGACCAAACGCACCCAGTTCCCCGCAGCAACGCTTTTCGAAACAGAAGACAAGAATTTCTGGTTCTTCTTTGCGGAGAACGTCAATTCAAAGAGAGTGTTAAATTCATCGAGCATAGGGACAGCCATGGTACGGATATTGACAGGCTTGAAGCCACCCAGCAGATCAGTACTTTCGCTCTGCTGCGACAAGTTCACTACCGTGAGCTTCTGCCGCATCAAATTTGCAAGCTGTTGGACGACTGTGGTTTTCCCGATACCGGTCTCTCCGACGAGAAGAACAGGCTCGGCCATTTGCACAGCGGCAGCAACCTGTTCCATCAGCTTCAAGGCCGCTCGAGTCGATGCAAAGCGCGAGGAAGCAGCTGCAAGCTTTGAGCCTGATCCACTAGGTACTTTATTCTTTCGACAGATCTCCCTTCCAAGGGTCACGCTATTTCCATGGTCTGAATAGGCTGGCGTCCGTTCATGAAGACAGAATTGCGCCCGTTGTGGCGATATCTGGAGTGCTTCGGCGACAACCAATGCGAGCGAGTCCGCCAAAGTTTTCTCGGGAATGTATCTAAGGAAGACATCCACAACGTCCAGAAATATCTCATCCTCGACAGCTTCGGGTGTCGCTTCGTAGCCAGTCTTGACCCCCAGTCGCTGCAGTCGCATATGCAATCTGCTGCAAAGCTTGATCAGATCGCGAAGACCCGGAGTCCTTCCTTGGGAGCTTTTAATGGCAAGGCTTCCGTGGAATGAGGAGCAGACCCTTTGGTAGACATCCATGATAACGGGAACGCGAGATTCAAGAAGAGGGAATTTGCGGATGATCACCTCTCGAATTTCTTCTATGGAAAGCGAGTCTATCTGCACTCTCTGCCACAACCTGCTTCCCAACAGATTGGTGTTTGGCGCAATCTCTTCGCCCGCAATATTATAGGTTGACTTCATGGTTGCAATGATCTTGAAACCCTCGGCGCACTTGATGCGTTCCTTTCTACTAGCTATGGTCAGCTCGCCCTTCTCAATGATGGGCAATATGAGACCGATGACTTCAGATGGAGCACGATCAAGATCCTCGATCAAAATCCAGCGACCTTCCCTTGCAGCCTTGGTCAAGACACCGGGCTGCCAAGCAAAGGAGCCTGTAGCCGGGGATGTTGAGTACATTCCGAGGAGACTCTTCGCGTCTGTTTGTTCGTTCAGATGAAGGGTAACCATAGACTCTAGCTGTCCCATTGTCGCAGCGACGTCGTTGACCAAACTTGTCTTGCCCGAGTTTGGTAGCCCAACAAGTAGGATGGGCTCAGGCGCAAGCAATGCTTTCGCAATCTTCCGTAGATTGCCCACGGTGGTTGGGGTTCTCACAATCGAGGAGGAGGGTGAACTTGGTGATTCATGCAGTCGTGGAATCAACACACCACAGACCTCAGCTGTTCGCACAGTAAAGTACTCCCGCAACGGTTCGGCAAGCAGAAAACTGTCCGACATTTGTCGAACCGATCTGACTTGCTCAATCTGCTTCTCGAGGGTCTTCCACCGACGCTCTTCCCACAAACCAAGGCAGCGGTAATCGATCACCACGCCTTCCCATGGTCCTTCAATCGGACCATCTGCAAGATAGGCCCCAATCATTCTCTCTGTAGCAGCATCAGCTGCACGCATGTATAAGGCAAAACACCGTATTGCTAGGTATCTGATAGCCTGGTCTCGATGCTGAAATAGGGACTGGAGTTGTGAGGGCGATACAGTCGTCGAGAAGACGTCAAGGTCATAGGACAAAAGTCGGAATATAGCGAGGAGTAGCGTGCCGAGGGTAGCATCTTCCAGTTGAAAGGTACTATGTTCTTTCGATACAGCCAAAGCCGAAAGAGGTCCAGCCCACGAGGCGGCATATTGACTGGCAAAAGATCGCAGATATGGCGCAAACGGTAAGATACGTGCAAAGGCGGAAATTATTTGGAAATTATCGACATGAAGATCTGACGAGAGCCATCGCGCTGCCAGATCAACAAATATCGGCTCGTATATGCTGAAAAGACTTTCTGTGCATTTCGACCTCAATGCGCTAACCGCGAGCGCATTCAGGAACTGAGTCCCAGAAGCAGTACGAATGAGTTCCGCAAGCTCATTCGGAAGCTGCTCAAGGATCTGGGACTCACTAAGAAGCCTCTCATAGGCAGGTTTTTCATTCATTATGAATCCTGCCGCCAGAGGAACTCCAGTGATATGGAACGAATGGACAAAAATTTTGTAGTACGACGATATTATTTTACGGAAGAAAATGGCCGTCTTTTTCACCGCCTGCCCCGTACTAGCAAACGCTTGTCCATGAAAAGTAGGCGGTGTCCAATCAAATACTTGGCGATGGTAATAGTTCTGGCGGTCGTTTTGCAGATAACTGACTGAGGCCTCTAGCAGTCACACCCATCAATTATGGCTTTTTTTTTTACCCTAGACATTAGAGAGCATAAGGTAGAATTAGATACTAGTGGTGGTTCCAAAGGTCCTCCTTTAAGGCGATCCGGTACTAAGCTTGTAATCGAAACTCAGATTCTTTGTTTTCCTCGATTATTCTGTAGTTCAAGGGTAAGGTAGGAGTAAGGTGTGTTCACCGCCTTTGGCCATACGCAGTCTGCGCCACATCTCCGATATCGAGGACTTGTTTCATCGCGACCCGAGATTCTGGTCGCTCAATTCCTGATAGGGGCGATGGTACAGCTGCGATGTGGACATGATATGCTTCCGTGATTCGTCATGTCAACAACGATTTCAGGGTCAGAAGCCGGAAGACCGTCCTCATCTGCGCAGGTTTACGACCAGTCATCGAACCTAGATAACGATACCCGCCGGAATCATTCCAATGAATCGCTGGCTGGAGGCCTAACTGAACCGTGAGGCTTACGGCTCTTTAATCCTGCGCATACTCTGACTGACCCGATTTGTAGAATTTCTTTCAAGCGCAAGCAAAAGCAACCTGCGAAGTTCAGTTTTTCGCGCCTGTTTTCCAGTGATGAACCCGAATCTACGATCCCTTTCCGGGCGACGAACACAAGAAACGAGCAGACGCCGGAGGTTAATCCGTCCTTGAGCCAGCCGAGAGCGCGAAATGCGAATGGAAATCTTAACGCACCAAAAGACGGGGGTTTTTTGGATTGGTATGTGGAAGGGCCAGGGCGCCGGGTAGGCTACGACGATCTTACAGCCATCGATTGGATCTTTGAATATACAAAAGAGCGACAGAGAAAGAGGCTGCTCTACTCGAGCGCGCCGGGTCTTGCAGGGTATGCTCGCAGGTTATTGGAGGCCAGTAACGTATGGGTGGTTTTAATAGCGACAGGCGTTCTCGTTGGTATTATTGCGGCATGCATTGACATCACGAGCGACTGGCTAGGAGATCTGAAAACGGGCTATTGCAAGAATGGACCAGGAGGGGGCAAGTTCTATCTGAATCGAAGTTTTTGTTGCTGGGGTCACGACGGTAAGGTGTTTGTTCTCAGCAGTGCTCATCTGCAACTGACGCAGCATATCCATCAGACATATCTGAGTGCTTGGATTGGACACCCTGGCGTAAAGCTCTTGGAGTTCGTTCTCCCAGCGGAGGCTATACGGTAGAATATATATTCTACGTCCTCTACTCTGTAATAAAGACTCTTTTCCTGTTTGTTCTGAAACACTTACTGACAAGCAATAGGTGGTCTTCGCTGTCTGCGCGAGTTTTCTGGTCAGAACATACGCAATTTATGCAAGACACAGTGGTATTCCAGAAATTAAGACAGTACTTGGTGGCTTTGTCATTAGACATTTTATGGGACCCTGGACACTCGCGATCAAATCCCTAGGCTTAGTAGGTATCCCGTGCATTCTCCATGTCAAGCTTCTTGAATGCTTATCGAGGAAAAGTGTCTAGCAGTTGCTTCAGGGATGTGGCTAGGTAAAGAAGGTCCTCTGGTGCATGTTGCATGCTGTTGCGCCAACGTCATGATGAAGTTCTTCGATAGTTTGAACCATAACGAAGGTGTGTGGTCAATGCGGCATTCAGCGGCTCATACTAAGTGATATAGCGAGAAAACGTGAAGTGCTCTCCGCAGCCGCGGCTGCAGGAATATCTGTCGCGTTCGGTGCGCCCATTGGAGGTGTTTTATTCAGTCTCGAGGTATGCCTCTCAGATATATATCCCTACCGTCGCCTCATCTAACGAAGGATAGCAATTGTCGTATTACTTTCCCGATAAAACCATGTGGCAGAGTTTTGTCTGTGCAATGGTTGCTGCTGTAACTCTTCAAGCGCTTAACCCTTTTCGAACAGGAAATATTGTGCTCTACGAAGTTAAGTATACACGTGGATGGCATCGCTTCGAAATGATCCCTTTCATCCTCCTGGGTATCCTTGGTGGTCTGTATGGGGCATTTCTGATCCGCTTGAACATGAAAGTCGCGAAATGGCGACGATCCCGAACTTGGTCTCGCCCAATATTAGAAGTTACGGTCATTGCTCTTCTATCTGCTCTGATCAACTTTCCGAATATCTTCATGAGAGCCCAGAATTCTGAGCTTGTCCACTCACTGTTTGCCGAATGTGGCACGGGATCCGATGATTTGTTCGGTCTTTGCAAGACTGGTGCTGCATCTGCTGGTACAATAACCCTTTTGCTTATGGCCGCACTTCTTGGCTTCTTCCTTGCCTCGTTTACGTTTGGGTTGGACATACCTGCCGGTATTATTCTTCCTTCCGTTGCCATTGGTGCCTTGTACGGCCGCGCATTTGGAACGATGTTTATGATGTGGCAAAATGCCTATCCAAATTTTTTCTTCTTCAACAGCTGCGAGCCAGATGTTCCTTGTGTGACACCGGGAATATACGCAATCGTTGGAGCGGCTTCGGCTCTAGGTGGCGCCACGCGGATGACGGTATCAATTGTTGTGATCATGTTCGAGCTCACAGGTGCCTTGACATATGTCATACCTATCATGATTGCGGTTATGTTGTCCAAATGGTGCGGCGATATCTTCGGCAAACGTGGTATCTACGAGTCTTGGATCCATCTCAAGGAATATCCCTTCCTTGACCATCGTGACGACACCACTTCCCCCGATTTACCTGCTCATAGAGTCATGACAAAGGTCGAGGACGTCACGGTCATCGTTGCCAATGGACATACTATTGATAGCCTCCGCAACCTTCTCATGGCCACCTCATATCGCGGATTCCCTGTCGTTACCGATTCTTCGAAGCCTCTTCTTCTGGGCTATATCTCACGCAACGAACTATCTTATGCATTGAAATATTCCTCATCTGATGCGGATCGCGACTTGCCGGGCTCGACGCAGGTTTTCTTCGCCCATCAGCCGTTTGCAGACCCTACTGAAACCCTCGATCTTCGGCCCTGGATGGATCAAACGCCAATTACACTTAACAGTGGGACGACTTTCTTGATAGTACGACGCATGTTTCAGAGATTGGGCCTCCGCTATGTCCTCTTTGCAAACAAGGGCGTCCTTCAAGGCCTACTCACTAAGAAGGACATTTGGTCTATCATTGACGGTGCAGAATCCCGCAGGGATAAAGGCCTAGACACTGGTTCATTAAGACAAAGAAATACGGCCGAGGAGGTAGGTCTTCTTGAAAGTGATGACGGAACTAGTTTTGCCAGTTCCCTGGATAGACGTCCTTCAATTTGATCTTTGCGGAATGGACGTGGCCTTAGCGAAATATATACCCTTGTAGAGGAGGTTTTGGATATCTGCTTTGTTTTGGAATGTGACGCATCTATTGATTGCTTGGTCACTCAATTTCTTCAATAGACCTTCAGTAGAAACATCTTCATCTTTGTGACCTTGTGATACCTAGTCTTGTCTTGGGGGAGCCGCTGGCAATGCTGCTTATATTAGAGAGGTATTGCAGATCCAATGGCGATCACCCCATATTTTCTGCCGGCAGAACAAGTCTACCGCCTAGAACCAAAGATCCTTGCTGGGGTTCAGCTATCTCTTATCGGAGTCTGATCACTTTTCGAGGCAGCCACACTAGTTGAGCTTTCTACAATTCCAGAACCGCAACCATGATGGCGGATCCCTTTGAGGTTCGTATGCGCTTCACTGCGCAGCTACAACATCTTAATGCCTCTGTGACCTCGTCACAGAAGGCAGCGCATTATGCGCTGAAATACCGCGACATGGATGAGGATCTCCATTCTTGTATTTTGGAACAACTTGAAAGGGTATGTCTTTGCTGTCGTGCAGGAAACTACTCTTACTTCTGACACAATTCTATGTAGAACAACATGAATAATCGAGCCAACATCATGTACTTCATCGAGCAATTCTGCGAAATGGCCACCAAGGAAAACCACACACCCTATGTCCGGATGATGCAAAGGGATATTCTCCGCGTCGTTGATGCCGTCGTACCACCGGATGGATCAGGAGCTGCAAACATTAAGCACGTCCGGCGTGTTCTCAACGGTCTCCAGAGTAAAGATATTCTCTCAGCCGAAACGATAGCTGAGATCGACGCCGGGCTCAAGGAACGGGAGGCCCAGGCGGCACATCTCGACTTGGATGTTGAGGAGGAGGTCGATAATGCTGCGAAAGCGAAAGGCGGAACCCCGCGAGGCTCCAGGCCGAGTGGGATGCGCGTGGACAAGAGACAGATCGAGCAACGGATTGAAGAAGACCGCGAACGGAATAAAAGGCTGCGCGAGAGTATGTGGACAGTCAGTGGGGATGATGGTGACGAACATGGCAAGTTCTGGGATGAAGTCAGTGATATAGGTGAGGATGACTTCCTGGGGGCGCAGGAGGAGCTCATGGAGCGCAATCAAATGATTGCTGCCCAATGATGAGAAGAATCTTAGAGCTGGGGCTGCATCTAACCGGTTCGGAAAAAGGTGTTATGGAATTTCGCAGCTATATATCCTGGGTTTGATGCTTATATTTACAGGCGGAGTTGGTTGTATGTAAAAGATACCTGTTCAAGTGCATTTTGAGTCCTTCCTAAACTTCAGAGAGTTAAAGCAAACTGTATTACTGCCTAATATCGATGCCGGTTTTCCCAAATCTTGTTCAGATCTGTTGCACGACTTCATGTCACTTCCTCTGGTAGTGTCAGTGAGTGGGAAACCCAGATAATGGGATTCTTGGCACTTACAGTCCTGCCTTCGGATCAAAGTTGCGCCGATAGATTTTATCAGTTGAATTTCTTCAAGAACCTTATCTGCTCGTCGCTGAGCGCAAAATTAACGTCTCACAATTTTTAATTGTTCAGAATTCATAGTGGGATCGATTGATTCTCTATGTTTTCTCACATTGTTACAGCAGCGAAAGGTCTATTTGCACGGCAAGAAGTCGACGAAGCCGAACTCGATAGCAGCAATACAATCTCGACAACATCAACAAGTCCAATTGGCCGCGAAGCAAAAATGGTGACGGCAACGAGAAGGAGGAATTTTGAGACATCGTCGACAGCTTCTGGGGATAGCAAAAGCGTCTCGGTCTCCGCAAATGGGAAGCGCAAGCCCGAATCTACAAGCGCTGCAAAGCCCGAATCACAGCACAACAAACGGAGAAAGAGAAGCAGTCTACAGGCAGCTGAAGAGCCGGAGAGGGAATTGTCGACTGAGACGTCTAGCGCCATGATCGAGTCAGCGTCGAAACGAGAAGAGGCACAGGCGCCTGCCTCTAAGACGAAACACTTCAGGTTCGACAGCGAAGAGCCTGAACTGCCGGTGGAGATGGAGACAGAGGTGCCAGAGCCTCAGCAGAAGGATCAGGACAATGAAGACAGCAGTGACGATGACGAAGCTCCCGAAGCGATTGACAATTCAGCTCAGATGGCCAAGATCAGACTGGAAGCCAAAAAGCAAGAACGAGCCAGACAGATGTTAGTATCTCCACTTAGAAAGTACTTCTATTTCTAACTCAAAAATCTACAGTGAGGAACAGCTGAGAAGGGAGAAGAGACAACAACTGGATGAACTCCGCAAACAGCAAGCGAAACAAAAGGAGGTGACCAAATTAGCAGCCGGTTCTGCTGATGACCAGCTTTCAGAAAGCACTGAGACCCTGCGAGGTAGTACCACACAAGATGCCCGCCGATCGGCCCTCCCAGCTCTTCTGCCGGATGAGATTCTTAATGCAGCTCCTGTCGCCAGACCTCCAACGCCCCCCTTGGAGGAGCTTAATGTTTCGCACAAGAAACCAAACAAGTTGAAATTTCTCGATGCTACGGAGAAACGCCCCAAGGATGTCAAGCTGGGTGATGTTACAATCCGTGTGCTGGACGAGAACCCGACTAAGAAGGCCAAGACAACCCTCCCGCCGAAAGCCTCAAAGATGGGACGAAACGCCAAGCAGAATTGGCTCAACAGAGCTCGCAGTACCGCCACTGTCAATGGTCTAAGAAGGACTGCAGGTGGCTCTTCGGGGTTTGTTCGCAGATAAGGGCTCCTAGTCTATCGGTTTCTGCGTATTTTTGAACCAGGCGACAAGGTGTTTATGGCGTCTTGATGCAGGTCGAGATCGGTTTGGAATAATGACTGGCATTTGCTCGTCATCATACATCATATATCAGCTATGGGCTATTGAGTGGCTTGCGCCGTTGGCGACAGGCGACGG